AACTCTTCGACCGATAGGTTTAATATGCACGTTGTGTTCACTCCGTTAAACATTTCAACAACAACAACGACTTGTTCTCTATACAACTTGCGATCACAATGATTTGTGACTCGTTCCCGACCTCGAGGCGTCTTTTTATTTCACTCCTTATCTTTCCTCACAATCTTTCGGTTTGAAATTGCGTTTCAAAAAACACCACATCCGTTACGTAACGGTTTTTTAAGCGGACGTTATCATAGAAAGTGCGTCATCACACTGGAAGTGACTGATCACTTCGGGCGATAAGAACAGGCTCACTTCCGGGAAATTGTGGTTTTTCTCGAAATTTTTTTATTTATTTGCTGCGCAATTTCAAACCGCACGCTATTTATTTTTAAACGCGAACCGCTTCCGGGAACTTTGCGGTTTTTTCTCGGAGTTATTTATTTTTATCCTCTCTTTGGAATGTTTTTCAACTCTTCGACCGATAGATTTAAAATGCACGTCGTGTTCAATCCGTTATACATATTCAACAACAACGGCGACGATTTGTTGTCTATACACCTTGCGATCAAAATGATTTGTGACTCGCTCCCGAACTCGAGGCGTCTTTTTATTTCGCTCCTTATCTTTCCTCGAAATCTTTTGGTTTGAAATTGCGTTCAAAAAAACACCACATCCGGTACGTAACGGTTTTTCACGCGGCTGTTATCGTTGGATGTGCGTCATCAAACCGGAAGTGACTGATCGCTTCGTCGATAAGTAAAGACACACTTCCGGGAAATTGCGGTTTTTCTCGGAATTTTTTATTTATTTGCTGCGCAATTTCAAACTGCGCGCTATTTATTTTTAAACGCGAACCGCTTCCGGGAACTTTTGCGGTTTTTCTCGGAATTATTTGTTTCCAGGAAATTGCGGTTTTTCTCGGAATTTCTTATTCATTTGCTGCGCACTTACAAACTGCGCCCTATTTATTTTTTAAACGCAAACTGCTTCCGGGAAATTTGCGGTTTTTCTCGGAATTATTTATTTTAATGCGCAATTTATATTTTAGCGATGACGTCATCATCCTAACGACCTTGAAAACACGTGACCACTCCTTTCCCCTCCCCTTCCTTAACGCGGTTTGCCCCTCCCCTTCCCCCCTCCCTCACGCGGTTACACCCCCTCCCCCTCCCCCCTCGTGGTGCCCTCGGTTGTCGACTGACTCTTTCTATCTTATGGACTGTTTCCAGTAAGGCATGCTCGAACTGCTCAAAACGCCATTAGATAAACAAGGACAGAACATGTCTCGCCTATTGGAAACTTGCATCAGAACCCCTCTACTATAACTACTCAGATCTTGAGCGGCTTGTAACGCTACCAATGTCTTCGTAACGTTGAATAGTACGGATTACAGTACTTTTAGAGATTCTATTATTTTTATTCCAAAAATTTTTATTAAATAATCGGGTTACTGTTTTATACCCTCTTTGTTGATCTCTCCATCCTCGCATCATTAACAGTGTTATTCGATCTTTTTCAGAAAGCTCCGCCGTTCTTAATTAGAGCAAAGAAGAATTAATCAGGTAAGTGATAGGAAATTGATCTAAATAATTAAGTAGAGAAAAATACTAATTATTAAGTGTTGGTCCAACTATTGATTTGTTTATTTCAACCAGCACTAGCAAAACGCTCGTTGAGCAACTGAAAATCTAATAGATCAATTAATAATATTTACGAAAAATTTCTGAGCTAATGGAAACAAAATGAAGATGTTTGAGACAATCAATTGAAGCGCAATGGCTTCTTTTGTTACAGAAAAAATTTTTGGGGCTGTTTGTTTTCGTCTACGAGGTAACTGCTGCTCACTAAGAAGAAGACAGCACTGCATCAAAGATTAAAATAAGTGATTTGTATTGTTTGCTCAAGAGCTCGTACATTGGTGCCTGCGAGAGTGAGAGAACAAAGATCGGCCCCGCCAACGCTTTCGGGCATATTCCCGCTAACGCCTTCGGACATCACGCATTCGAGCAACTTCTCGCGATCAGCTTCGGGCAGTTTTCCGCCGTAGCCTACTAGCATAACCGCTTGAAGCCGTACAACTTTGCTATTGAACTTTTTTCCAAAATGCATTCTTACTGAAAATAGTAAGGAGATCCGACACTTTTTGATTAATGTATTTTTTTTTAACCAATTAATTGGTCTCATTATTCCGCGCACAAAGGTATTAAGGTTGTGAGTACTGAAAACTAAATAATATTTTACAAGATATTTTACATTTTGTGTCAAAAAATTGTTAACTTCAAATCTTTATAACTCAAAAATGTACTTAATGAAAAAATGTTTTATTATAGTGTTTTGGAAAGCTCTTGAGATAAACTATAAAAATATGCAATAAAATGTAGAGGCCTCCATTAAAAAAAATAAAGTTGACCTTGAAATAACCTTAAAGGACATGGTCAAGATCAAAGTCAAGGTCATCATCTTACTCCTCGCTTAAAACATACAACTTTGCTATTGGACATTTTCTCCAAAATGCATTCTAACTGAAGATATTAGGGGGGTCCGATACTTTTTGATGACCCTGTATATTATTATATATTAAAAAAATAAATTATGATACATTAAATTCCATGTATAGAATAAATCAGATACTTAATACATGCACAAATTACAAATTTTATATCAGATTTTATTTCAGTTTTAATTTATAGAAGTTGAAATTAGATTAGAAAATGGCTTTTATACTGAATAAATTATACTGATGTTTAAATAAATAAACTTACATTCGTCATTAACATCCACATTGTCGTTTGTAAATAAAACATTGTTACTATCTATATATATATTTTTGTTTGTGAAACATTCATGTAAAGATGCTGTATCTAATATTGCAATATATGCATTGCAGTGTTTGCATGTAAAACCATCTGCTTCAATAATTAGATAATAAAATTATTATTTAATCATTAGTAAAAAGTGAATAATTGAGAATCATCTCGGGCTCTGTAATCTGTTTAAAGTTAATATAATGTAAAGTCTATAAAGAGCCATCGCGGGATGTTGTGCGTGAAAATATGACTGTGCATATACATATACGACAGTCGTACTCACATTTTTCNTGTGAGTTTTTTAATTGAAATTCACGCACAACATCCCGCGATGGCTCTTTATAGACTTTACATTATATTAACTTTAATCATTAGTAAAATTGATATTTTTTAATTGCATACTGAAATATAAATATATTGCAGAATTGTAAAAGATTAAAATTTTAAGGACATCAAGTGACACGAGATCAATTAAAACACGAGAGAATAGATATGTCAATACTTATTATTACATTTTTATAACAAATAATAAAATAATTTAAAAAATATGTATCACATACTTTCCATGATTAATACTGTTCCGAATATAATTTGAAAGCACAGCAAAAAACAGTCTACAAGAATAGCATTCCATAGAAAAATAAACGGAAAAAAGTTGGTATCCATGGAGTGACACAGTTAAACACAGCAGTTTAGCTGCGTACAATTGTGTCGTAGTTGGAAAGCACCGAAGTGTACACAGTGTTTCACAGTGTCGCCTGTGTACGTAGTTGGAAAGCACTCTTTGTAACGGCTAAGGGGCTATCAGTGCCCATACGCTATTCTGCTTGTTTATTTATTTTTTGAACGTATATATGTAATACTTCTATATCGCTAGTACGGTGCCGACCTGAAACCCAGACGTTACGGTGCAGACAATATAGTAGCCTCTCTCTGGCACAAGGTCCAGCTGCTTTGTGCGCATGCAGTGAACATTCAAGCACGCTTGGGCATTTCTCTTTCTCGCGTTCTTTCTTTGCGTTCTCTCACTTTCCAATGCTTTGTCTCGCTCGCACTCGCTTAGTAAACGCGCCTGCGCATAATGACGCTCGACTATCTATGCCCATATTTGACTTCGTTTGTCTCTCTTTCTTGGGCCTCGTGCCTCTCATTGCGAAGATACGCGACTAGTGATATAGAAGTATTATATATATGTTTGAACGTAACGGAGGGGTTGTGCAGTATTCTGCTACCACGCGATACACGGATGTAATCCCGAATTAATTCGGATGTAATTTTGAATTAATTCTCTTCCCACAAGGCGATTACAAGTCACAACACCTCGAGCACGAGCCCGACACAAATAGGCAGGCCTACTGTGAAAGACGGCCGTGTATCGCGTGGTAGCAGCTTTGACTATGTAATATATGGACTGCTAGTAGCTTACTTCAGACGTGTCGCCATCGCTGCGAAAATTTAGGCTCCGCCCCGAAGAGTAATTTTTAGAAACGAGAGTGGGAAGACTCTCCCGTAAGTTACATGCATCCCGCGCGTTATTCGTTTCTTTCATTGCAAGTTCGAGTTAAATATTTGTTTACTTAATTAATAAAATGTTTTATAAAAAGATGTACTTATACTGTTTTATAAAAAGATGTACTTCGACATCCTACAAGCGAAAAAAGAAAGATAACGAACCAGTTGTGCCATTTTATAAGTAAGTAGTTAATTTCTTAACCTAACCTACGCTTGCGTATCAATAAATAGATGAAATGAATATTCCGCAATTGCATGCATTGATGACTGTTGTTTGTCAGATTTCCCTCAAACTCCAATGTAAGGCAGCAGTGGATAAATGCAATACACAAGTTAAATCATCAAGAACTTGCTCCACAGTTGCCAAAATATGCAAACATTTGTCTTCGACATTTCGACAGTGCTTCTATAGAACAATTCGGTTTTACTCAAATACGATTAAAACCGAATTCTGTGCCGTCAATATTTCCAAATACATCCGATAAAGAAAGGTATATGTAACTAAAATACAGATTGAGTGGAAATAGTACATTCATAAATAGCAAATAATTTGTATTGTATATTTTCAGTGCGGATAAAGAATCTTCTTCAAAGGTAGCTCGTATCAAGATAGAATCAAGTATGGACTTGTGCGATACGATGCAAACCCAAGGCAACAGAGTTGTTTATGACTCAAGATAAGGTCAAATGCAAACTTATTTGTAATGATGACTACATTTCTAATAATGAAAAGTATTGAATAAAGCTTTTTAAAATATGAAAGATAGCAAACATAGTTGAAGTAGCAATGACATTCACACATAAACAGCATATAAATTATATTGTATATTTTCAGTGCGGATAAAGAATCTTCTATGAAAAGTGCGGATAAGAAATCTTCTGTCGAAAATATTACGACAGTGCACTCTGTGCAGGAAGAAAGCAACAGAGTGGTTTATAACTCAAGGTTAGAGAATATGCATTGTTAACTACTATAATTACATACTTAGCTATTCTAAAGATTCTCCTGAAATGTCATCTAAGTGTTTTGTCAAAATAGTGTGCGATTATATAACTTTTTAATATTTACAGCAACGATACCATTATCGACATGGAACCTGACTGTGCTTCGGCAGGAACTTCTAAACCGTAAAAATATCCAGCTCAAATCACAGAAGAGAATATACTGACTATGTCGCCAAAATCGATAGTCCAATGTGTACGTATATTGAAAGATACCTGCGAGAAAAAAACACGTGCAATCAAACGACTGCAAAAACATCAACATCGACAAAAAAAGAAGATCGAAAGTTTACAAGCGTTATTGTCCGAATTATCAAAACGCGAGCTTCTTTCTCCCAATGCATCGGAAATGGTAACGGTATGGTTTTAACATACAACTAACAAGGAGACCCCATAGTTGACTATCTACCGATTTTAATCTTCTTGCACATGATGAATCTGCATTGAAAATAAATAAGTTGATCTCTGTCTGAGCGTTTTGTCCAATGCGTCTTGATTATATTTTATGCTTGAAAAAATCCCGCACGGACACGGATCAACTTATTTTCAACGTAGATTTATCATGTGCAAGGAGATTAAACTCGATGAGTAGTCAACTGTGGTGTTTCCTTGTAAGATAACACAACTGAATAGGCAATTGGGTAAATTTTACTCGAATATGATCGATTCAGATGAAAAACACGTGGTATT